GTAGATCAAAACGTACTTTTAAAAAAGAAGTCCTGCAAGTCTTAAGACTTGGATTTCTAGACAGGAGCTTGAAAAGCTCACCAAGCGCAGCCTCCCGCCTTCAGACAGGTCAACGCCCAAATCCAGGTGGCCTTTCAGAACCTGGGCTGGCTCGGCCCCTGAAGAAATCGCCCGAGGAACCGCACGGGGCCTGGCGCTGCCTGGTGTGGGTTGTGGGGCACGTGGCAGAGGCCATTGGGAAATGCTTGCTGACATTGGGAGACTGTCTCCCATCCTCTGAGGGGTCTCCCGGTGAGGTCGAAAGGGCCGTTGGAGTGGGGGCCAGGACACGCTCCCGTCTTGACCGTGCTCCTGCTTTGCTGTGGTCTCAGTTCCCGCCTCTGGACGATCAGGGCTTTGAGTTTCTCAAGAGCTGTCACAGTTACACATTTTTAAAACTATGAACAATAGCAAATAGCTTTCTGTGCACTGGGCACGGCAGTGAACAGAGGGGAAGATAGATAATAAGCATGGAAACAAATGAGGTATTTTGAGACCGTGAGGTCCTCGGAAGGAAATAAGCCAGGGGGACAGGATAGATCATATGGGGAGGGGGGCTTGGGTGCTTCATAGCAGGTGATCCGGGCGCCTCTCTGAGGAAGGGGTGTTGGAATTGAGACTTAGATAGTGCGAGGGAGAGCCAGCCAAGGGTGTCAAAAAGGGAGTCCTCCAGGGAACTCTGTGCCAGGGAACTGAGACCGGGCCCTGAAGCCCACAAAGACAAGGGGAAGCAAGAGGGATAGGCATTCAGTATGACATTTTGGGGAGGGGAAATAAATCTCTGTGAATGGCAAGGTTAAATTCGGTGCCACCTTGGGTTTGGTGGGTCAGTGTTCATGCAGCTCCCAGCCCAGGGGGCTGTGTGTTCTTCAGTGTCTCCGGAGAGGGTGCGCAGAGGGTGCAGGGGTGAAAGATGGGTGTGTGTCGTGGGAAGGGGCGCTCTGCTGGGAAGGACCCAGGAGATGGCAGAGGCTGGTGTGTAGAGCCCAGGATTACACTTCCTGGGGAACTATGGGTGGCAATAAGTCAAAAAAGTGACATGGAGGCTTCTCCACCTCCCCCTGCCCCAGGCCATGCACACCAGTTGGTCCAGTAGGTCACCTTTGAAGATGGAGGATGGCATAGCACCAAGTGTCGGTAAGCTAAACTGAGTAAAAAAAAAAAAAAGTAAAAGCAAAATCAACTACAAGTGCATATCCTTCGACCCAGCACCCCCACTTCTAGGAATCTGCCCTTCAGATACACTGATGCAAGTGTGCAGATTAATAAGTGTGTGTTGGGGGGCGCCTGGCTGGCTCAGTCGGTGGAGCGTGGGAGCCTCATCTCAGGTTCAGGAGTTCAAGCCCCATCTTGGGAGTAGAGAATAGTTAAAAATAAAATGTTTAAAAAGAAAGAAAGAAATGTAAGGATGGCCACGGGCGGCGTAGTTTGAAGTAGCAGAATGTTCGGAAAGGACCTCGATGGCCGTCAGCGGGGAACCAGTGAGTAGACTGTGGCATGAGCCACACAACCCAACACCAACCCGGCAGCCATTCCAGCAGTGAGGTGGAATGGCTGAAAGAGAATGATCCTGGAGGGGTATTGGTGGGGAGAGAAGCTAGGCTGGAGAACAGGCTCTCCGCTCCACACCCTGCGCCCACCAGCCCAGGGGAAACCGCCCCCCACCCCCCGCAGGAAATGGAAACAGGGTTCCCAGCGAGCAAACTCTCCTGCTCCCCCGCCTAGGGAGGAGGAAGAGCACAGCACTGCGCAGCACGCCCTTAACATCTGAGCTCCAGCAATCCTGAGGGGACGCTGAATGCCCCTTCCAATCAGGAGCGAAGGAGTGAGTGAGGGGCAGGGCATGAGGCTAGAAGTGTCACTCTGGTGCAGTTCCCTCCACACGGAAACCTGGAGTGCGGAGTAAGTGTTCCCACCTAGCAGGTATTTCTGGAAGGACGCACAGCAAACCTGAAGAGTGGTTCCCTGAAGGAAAGGAAGTAGGAGAGTGGCCTCCGGGATAGTGGTTAAAGGGACAATTGGTGTAAAGATGCAGGAGCAGAGGGTCCCTCTTAAAGGTTCAGGGGATCTCTTATACTTATGAATAATTTTCTCCAAAGCCTCTGGTGAGGTCACGAGCAAGGTCCTAGGCACACAAGTTCTTTTTACCCCCATTTTGTTTTTACAGGAGATCCGGGCATCATCATGGGGCAGCACTAGGTAGTTGGCATTTACCTGCCCTAATTTTCCTGGACATCTACCAGTTCAAACCAATCTGTATGCCCCTTGATCTTTCTCATACACTGGACTCAAGACCTCTTGTAAAAACTTACTCTCTTCTCTGCAGGAGCGCCTTCCTAATGTCTGGAATTCCAGCTGCACTCACTTCCAGGTGTTAAAGCAGTGCCTCCCAGACATGAGGCATTTGAGAACCACTCAGGATTTTTGTTAACAATGAAGGCCACCCGTCCTTTTATTTACATAATATTTTTCTTAAATGACTCACTTTTAAAACCTCAAACTTGTCTATAAATAGCATTACTTCTTATAAAAAGAAAGAACCTTAAAAATAAATGTAATAAAATCTAAACAACATTGTTAAATTCTAGCTACACTGTGACCTGCCTAAAGTTTTCTTTCTTCCTCTCCTCCCCTCCCCTCCCCTCCCCTCCCCTCCCCTCCCCTCCCCTCCCCTCCCCTCCCCTCCCCTCTCCTCTCCTCTCCTCTCCTCTCCTCAGCAAGTGTTTGAGACAGGCTGGCACCAAACTGGGTCTTTTTCCTTGGTGGACTCGGAAGGATTAGAATGGGGACTTTCTCACCATGTGGTTCAGTGTTATTTAATGCCATATCAATCAGTGTTCCAACCAAAATCATGCCCTATAGCATTTGAATTCCAAACTTTGGAGAAAACTGAGTTACAGCCTTTCCCCCCACTCTTCTGGGAAGTTTTAGTTATGTGTCCATATGCTTTTGTGTCATCTGGCCTGGATAACATATGAAGTCTGTTATCACCCTGGTGTTTATGACCCTGCCTGATTAGGTTGTCTTTTCTACAAGGGTCAGAAATGTATCTGTTTGGGGGCAGCCTATGATGACAGTTAAGAATGATGCAGGTGTGGGGCACCTGGGTGGCTCAGTAGGTTAAGCATCTGCCTTCAGTTCAGATCATGATCTCAGGGCCCTAGGATCAAGCCCCACATCGGGGCTCCCTGCTCAGCAGGGAGTCTCTTTCTCCCTCTGCCTCTCCCCACACTTGTGCTCTCTCTCTAATAAATAATTAAAAAAAAAAAAGATGATGCAGGCATAAGTAAAGGAGCATTTGTTCTTTCAAAAAGAGTTGGAAGAATCTTTGAGCTGGTTCATTGGATTCTTCTAAGTGATGATGTGCAGAATCACAGCTGGGACTGGCCAGGCTGAGCTCTGCAGCCGAGGCTCCTGGCTGGTTATTAGTGAGTCCTGGGTCTTATGGAGGTCACCCTGTGTGAGCCCATGAGCGTCTGTCCCCATGAGGGAATAATAATGAGTCCCATGAGTGAGAGTAAGCATGGTCAGAGAGGACAAGCCCTTGTGTATGAATGCCTTTGGCAACTTTTGAGGAGCTCTCCGGCGTCACTTTTAAAAACCAGACACAACCCCAGTTCTTTTGCAAGATTTCCAATTTTACTTTGCAGCCCCTTCCTATTGCATATTATTCAGACTGTCCAGCCATAGTAAAAAAAATTTACCCGCAAATCTCAGCGGTTTAACATCCAGAGGCTTAATTTGCCCATCACAGTATCTGTCCACAGTGGGAGGCTCCCATGAATTGTGGCTGCACCATGCCAGCCACTTCGTAGGGGAGGGTGATGGGAGAACTCACACCTGCTCTTCAGCCCGGAAATGATGTGGGCCGCCATTGCCCAGCATGAGTCACAAGGCTCCACCCTCACCACAGGGGAGGCTGGGAAATGCAGTCCTCCCAGGCCCCGGGAGAGGGAAATGAACTAGCCACTGTCGGCCATTGGTTGTGTCTTCATTTTGTGGTTAGGTGTTGTTCAAATAGGGGTAGATGTCAAGAGAGGGGGTGTTTGAGTGGGGATTAATTTGACAAATGGTCATATCATTAGGAAATAGTTTCATGTTGGGATTGATTTTGCTTTGTTAGGCACCATTGCTGGGATACTGAATACTAGGACTGAGCTCCCAGCAACCTCCACCCCGGGCTGTGAGCCCCCCCGGGGCATGGCCACCATTGCCTGGTGGGTGGGGCCTTGGGAGCAGCCTTTTAGGACATATAGAGCTGTTCCTTCCCGCCCCGGTGCCCGCATGCAGCGGGCCGCTCGGAAGAGGGGCGATGCTTTTCTGAATTCGGGATTTGAATTGGTCCTCACCTGTCTCCTCCACAAGGAATATTTGGCATCTGGATGCCACAAGGAGCAGCTCCTCGCACCAGATTTTGTCCAGTAAAGTCTCTCCAGGGGAGGAATGATGAGAAGAGCAGTTTTCGATTTTTTTTTTTAAGATTTTATTTATTTAGTGAGAGAGAGAGTGCAAGTGTAGGGAGGGGCAGAGAGAGAGGGAGAGCAAGAGAATCCCAAGCAGACTCCCTGCTGAGTGTGGAGCATGACTGAGGGTGAGACCATGACCTGAGCAGAAATCAAGAGTCAGATGCTTAACCAGCTGAGCCACCCAGGCGCTGTGGTTTTTGATTTTCTAAAACCCCACTAAAAATTGCCTGTTTTGGGGGCGCCTGGGTGGCTCAGTCGTTAAGCGTCTGCCTTTGACTCAGGTCATGATCCCAGGGTCCTAGGATCCAGCCCCGCATCGGGCTCCCTGCTCCGTGGGAAGCCTGCTTCTCGCTCTCCCTCTCCCCCTGCTTGTGTTCCCTCTCTCGCTGTGTCTCTCTCTGTCAAATAAATAAATCTTTAAAAAAATATTGCCCATTTTTCATTTAATTTTGTTCTGCCATTGACGAATGTATTTCTCTCTTGTGACCCCTTTAGCATCTCTCTCTGGGCTTTAAGCGTGACCCCTCGCCCCACCACACCCTCTGAAAATGTTGGTGCTCCTGGCTTTCATCATTGTCTTCCACATTACCTCCGCTGCATTGCTGTTCGTCGCCACCATTGACAATGTAAGTCCCCTTTCCTTCTGACTATCCCACAACCCCTGCATCCTGCAGTCCATAGAAGCGGGATTGAGAACTTCCCCAAGGTGATTAGGATATTGGGTTGTCCTCCCTATGGAGACATCTCGGGTTAGGCCCAAGGACTCGGCCTGTGTGTGGAGGTTTGGAGTGCCCCATGGTTAGGTCTGGATGTGCAGGGACCTGGCTTCTCTCATCCCTGATTGCCCCACAGAGCCTGGTGTGGTACCTTGGGTGTAGAAAGCTCTTTGAGGATGCTGCTTGGATTCAACCCTCCTCTAGATAAATTTCTCAACCTCAGCACTGTGCCATTTGGGGCTGGATCATGCTTTGCTCTGGGGCCATCCTTTGCACTGTAGGATGCTTAGCAGCATCTTTGGTTCCTGCCCACTAGATGGCAAGCACTCCTACTCCAACTTATGACAACCAAAAATGTCTTTGGACATGGCCAAATGTCCTGAGGGGGAGCAAAACCACCCTCAGTTGAGGACCACTGCCCTAGATCCCCCAGGTGACCCATCCCAGGCGATCTCTGCCCCTCCTGCCTTTGCCTTCTTCTTACAAATCAGGAACCCAATTGATAGTCACCTCGCCATGCTCTCCCTAGCAACGGCCCATGCTCCCCTGAAAAACTGAACTTTTTACTTAAGTATCCAGTTTGCAGCCATATGGCAGGAATGTATTTGATAAATGACCTACTGGTATAGATTAATATCTCTCCTGGCAGGAAATGAAGCTTTGTACCAGAGGTCCTCAATGGCCCACACCTTGATCCAAAGGCCTGGTTTCAATCCTGATCATTTCAACCTCAGAGGCATTTAGAGTCAGAAACACTGCTCCAGAAGCCCCCAAGTGCACCTCACGAGTGGCCACCAGCTCTTCCTACATCTAGGACTCCTGTTGATTAATGATCCCGTAACAACATAGACCATCACAACACCTGCCACTTAGGGAGAGCTCCCTCTGGCCAGGGCCTAGGCCCTTTTATGTGCATCATCTCCTTTGGTCCTCAGCTCAAAACTACGAGATCGTCCCTCTTCTGGCACTGGTTACTGATGAGGGAACTGGGCCTCAGGGCAGTTTTGACACCTGTGGACTTTATGCGGCAATAAGTGGCCGAGCTGGGATCCGAACCACTCCCGACCCTAGATCCCGTAAGGGAGGTAAATGCAGTGATCGGTTTGGGTTCCTGAAGGTTCTCGAAAGTGAGTGGCCAGGGCAGAGATCACACTGATGCTGTGGCTTCAGGTATTTGGACCTGTCATTATCCAGAGGACCCGTGCTTGGTGAAATATATGGTAGTGAGTGTTCTTTCAGGGTCTCCTTTTTCTGTGCCTTGCGATTACCCCTAAGGGATCCTGAAAGGGTCCCAGACATGGTGAAAGGGATAGACAGACATTAGGGGCAGAAAAGCCATCAGCCCAGCACCCGTTAATCCTTTGGGGTACCCCTGGGTGCTTGTGTTGTTGTGCACTTATGAGAAGACACGGACAGGCCTTGGTTTTGCCCGTCAGGGAGTCAGAGGGTGTCCTTGCGAGTTAGGAATTGCACTTTATATGTAGCCAGCACATGGTGGGAGTTCAGTGAACGTCGGTTGCTGGAGGATGGGAGGGGGAGATAGGAGGTCTTTGGGTGGGGAGGAAGGCAGAAGGAGGGCCCACTGGGGGTGGGGAGCTGCAGAAGCCCAGAGAGGAAGCATGCGATTGGACTGAAAGCAGGAGAGTTTTTTCTGATCATTCCCTCCGTACCAGGCCTTGCCCCTGGATTTCAGCCTCTCTGACCCCCCTGACATCGCCCCTATAGTTCATGTGGATATACCACGGTGCACACTTGTGACCACCCATTGAGCCTCATCCGCGCTCCTACACCCTGGGAGGGCCTGGCCCCCCGGCCCATGTCTTACTTTTCAGCTGCCCTGCAGCATGGGTCTCCCGGGGGAGCCTGTTGGAAATGCAGAATCCCAGGCCCCACCCCAGACCTCTCAAATCAGAATCTGCATTTTAACCCGACTCCCCGGTGACTCGCATGCACATGGCAGTTGGAGAAGCGCTGGTCCCGAATATTGATTTACCGCTGTGCCTTGCGCCTGAGTAGAAGTCAGTGTTTTGATGGTTAACCAAGAGCCCCTTCCCTGTTTGCGTTTACAGGCCTGGTGGGTAGGAGAAGAGTTTTTTGCAGATGTCTGGAGAGTGTGTGTCAACAACACGAATTGTACAGAAATCGATGCGAACTTTCAGGGTGAGTGCCGAGCTGATACGGAACACCTTAGCTCAGGCTGAGGGCTCCCCTGTTCTCTGCTTTCATACCTGGAGGGGCCTGGCCGAGTGCTCGGTGCAAGCTGGAGACAGGAGGGGTGTGCAGAAACCAAGGGCTGGGGGTGCGTGCCCTTCCCTTCTCTGTTTCTGGGCCCAGCAGAGCCTCTGTGCCCCACAGGTGCCAGCAGATCTGGTGTCCTGTGAGGCCTCTCATCCTGGTTTGTGCACGGCCACCTTCTCCTCAGAGGGTGGAGGGCAGAGAGCAGATCCAGCTGCTGTGTCTCTTCATCCGGGCACTCATCCCATTCACGAGTTCTTCGCCCTCATGACCTGATCACCCCCTAAAGGCCCCATGTCCCACTGCCATCCTGTTGGGGCTTAGGATTTCGATACAGGAATTTTAAGGAGATGTAAGCGGTCCGAAGCAACCCATATTTGCACCATCACCGGGGGTATTCAAAATACAGGTTCCTGGTGCCCGCCCCAGAACCACTGTGCCATAATCTCAGGGGGAGAGGTCTAGGAGTCTGTTTTTTATTTTTTAGGAATCTATTTTTAACAGGCCCCCAGGTGATTTCTGAGATCGGGCAAATGTGGGGAACACCACTCTTAGCCAGAGGGTTACAACCTTGGCCCCACATTGGACTTGCCTGGGGAACCTTACCCCGTTCACCCCCGTGCCTGATTCCAACACCAGAGATTCTGATTTATTTCCTGTCTGTGTAGCATGCTGGATTTTTGTTTTTAACGGAGCTATAATTTATAAACAAGAAATTGCATACTTCTTAAGGGCTCGGCTTAAAGAGTTTTGACAATTATATACACGGCCATGTAACTACCATCCAAAGCAAGATAGAGAACTTTCCTATCACCCTAGAAAGTTCCCCTGGACCCATTTCCACTCGTGTTCCGTGAGCCCTTTCCTGAGGGCAACCATTTCTGACTTCTGTCACCCTAGTCTCCTTCCGTCTGTTCTTGGACTTAATACAGATGGAGTCGTACAATGTGTATTTGTGTGTGTGCGGGCCGGGCTTCTTTCCTCAACATAAGGAATGGGTGAGGGCCTAGGTGCTCTGTGGGTGATCGTCACGTGCAGCCAGGGTGAACCAGGATCCATTGCTCGAAGCATTTCAGGAAATACTTAGGAATTACACTTCCCTCCGGTCAGTTTCAGGCAAAATTGGGGAAAAAGGAGAAGCTTCGTTCTTAGGTTTCCCTGTGCAACTTTGGCCACTGTCCCCGCACCTCTCTTAGCTGTGTCCTGGTGATAACATTCAGCCCTTACATGGGACTCCCCCTTTTTGCAGCACCCCCAAAATCCTTGAATGAATTCCTTGTACTTCCCCTGCCTATGCGGTGGGGAGGAGTCTCAGGTGAGAAGACTGAGAACCATGCAGGGGGCTCCAGTCTGTGCACTTGACCCCTTCTCTATGCCTCCGTCATGTGGCTTCTGCTCTGTCCTTCCCGCGTGCAGCGCCCTCCATCCCAGACTGGCTCATTTCTCTGCTGAGACTTCCCGCTGCTGAGCCCCGCTCTCCAAGGCTAATCTGAGAAGCCTTGCTTTCTCTTTTCCTAAGGAGTAGTCACAAGGCTAACTGTCTTCTTTTCAGGGGGTATTAGGTAGTCCGCAGAGCACTTTCTGAAGGTCACTGAGCCCCGTGAGCCCCAAATCCCCAAGAGTCCCTCTGGAGACCCCTAATCCTGACCCATCCATCCTGACCTCCCGAACCAGAATCTGCCAGGTTGGAACCTAAGGGTTTGTACTTCTAAAGAAAAAAAAAAAAAATCCCCAACCAGGAGCCATGCCTTTTGGGGCAATACCCAGACTGAAAAGAATGACAGAGCAGGTGGTTCTTGCTCCATTTTCCAGAAAAGGACGGTGGGGACCATCTGGTCCAGTGCTCAAATGGACGCTGCAGGGGAGGGGATGTTGGGACGACCCCTTGGCTGTTCTTGTGCTCATACTATGCAAACGTACTTCTGCCTCCTGTCGTCCCCACTCTGGACCTCTCCCTGTCACTGTGTCCCCCTGAGGGGCCTGGGGGTCTGCGGTCCTCAGTCACACGCTCTCGCCCTCTCCCCACAGATTACGCCACGATGCAGGCAGTCCAGGCCACCATGATCCTGTCCACCATTCTCTGCTGCATTGCCTTCCTGATCTTTGTGCTCCAGCTCTTCTGCCTCAAGCAGGGAGAGAGGTTCGTGCTAACCTCCATCATCCAGCTCATGTCATGTAAGTACAAGGTTGGGGTTCCTGGAATAAGCATTCCCTTCCCAGCCACCGCGAGTAGGAGCCAAGAGCAGCGCAGCGGGTGAGGATTTGGAAAGGAAAGCCAGCCGCCATGGTGCGGCGGGACATTTTCTACCTCAGAGTCTGGATTTAGTTAGAGGGTCAGGGCAGGCGTGCCGAAGACATGAAGCCTGAGCCAGGATCTGTAGGGTAAGTAGGAGTTGCCGTCAAGAATGTGCTATCTTGGTATGGAGGGAAGAGGCACAGGGTCCCCAAGGAAGATCAGGGTACTTGACCCCATCCTGCCACTAACATCCGTTGGTGATTCACTCAGGATGCTTTTGACTTCAAGTAAGAGGAAAATCCAATTAACAATGACTTCAACCACAAAGACCTTTACTTTTCTGATACAACAAAAAGCTGGAAGGTGGAAGGTGCCATTGTTCATTTGGCAGCTCAGCGGCATCAAGAACTTCCACTTGATCCTTTGATGATTTCATCTTCAGAGTGTCAGTGATGACCTCCTCACGGCCCCCAAAAGGCTGCTGCAGCTCCAGAAATTCCTCCTGACCTCACAGTATCTGAAACAATAAACAAGGGAAAGCACAGCAACAAAAAACGCTTCCTCCCCTCCCCATCTGTCTCTTTCCAGGGAGTAATATTTTTCACTGAAGGATTTTTCTGTGGCCAGAACTGGGACACATGTGGATCCATAAACTGTTATAAGTAAACAGGAACAGGATTGCCTGGAGGTGGGGGGCGGTTCACGGGCCGAATCTGGTTCACTGCCTTGTTTTGTAAATAGCATTTTACTGGAACGGAGCCCCGCTTGCTCATTTGCATATTGCCTATGGCTACGTCCATGCTTGAGTAGTTGGGACAGAGATTGTATGTGGTGCACAGACCCTAAACTGTTCTCTGTCTGGCTGACCCATGGCTTAGACCAGTTATGACTTAGCCCCTGGGCAGGATATCCAGCCACCCAAGCAGAATCGGGCTCAGCTAGCAACAAGCGGGAAGTGAAGCCGTCCAGGGTGGGCAGCCATGACCTGCCACGAAATATTAGCCGTGATCTTTCCCATGGACTAAAGTCAATACCCGCCAATAATCAGAGCTTAAGTGTGTCTTCGCCTCTGGCCATGGTACCCTCGGTCTGTGGTGCACGCTGTGACATGGTCTGTGATTTATTTATTTGCTTGCTTTCGGCAGGCCTGTGTGTCATGATCGCGGCTTCCATATATACAGACCGGCGTGAAGACCTTCACAGGAAGAACCTGGGATTGTACACCCTTACCCTGGATGGCAGCTACGGCTACTCCTTCATCCTGGCGTGGGTGGCCTTCGCCTTCACCTTCGTCAGCGGCCTCATGTACCTGATCTTGAGGAAGCGCAAATAGAACCCCGGGAGCTAGGTTGCTTTTGCTGCAGTACAAAATCCACATTCAGATAACCGTTCTGTATATAATCAATATTTTTGTGTGTGGTTTTTCTAGCAAACATATTGTTTCCTTTAAAAGCCAAAAAAAAAAAGATAGAGAGAGAAGAGTTTTTGCATTCTTGAGATCAGAGAAAGACTGTGAAGGCTGGGATTCGGAACTCCTGCCTATCTGAAGTCTCCAAGAGACAAAGCCCCAAATGCAGCAATGCCCAAATCCAAAAACGTTCAATGGGATGTTTCTTAACTGTGGGGTTGTGATGTGATGTGAGAAGAGACCAAGAACGCCAGGTCTCGGGGGGCATCCTTTCTAGGTATGAGCCACACCAAGCCCCTCCCCCCCCAGCTTAGCCTCCCCTCCCCATTCTCTCTGTGTTAGGGTTGGAGGTGGGGTAGGGGTGAAGCCTCCTCAGATGTTTAGCCAAGTTCCATGTGAGAAACAGGGGTTGCCCTTGCTGTCGTGTCTACATCCAGACCAGAGCCCTGACCTTCCTGCAATGGGCTGGGTCCAGAAAGTCCCACCCACCTTTGCTGACAGTGTTACTTGCTTGCTTCCCTTGTTAGGGAAGGTGATCTTTAACCTGGGGTCGGATTTAGGCTCACCCTAAGGCAAAGAATCTCAGCATGTGATCCCCAGCAAATGTAGTAACAGGGGCCCTCCTTAGACCCACGGGGTCAGAGTCTTCAGAGACGGGGCCTGGGCACCTGCAGTTCTGACCAGCTCCTTGGTGACGCGTAGGTGCCCTGAGGCTGAGGACCATGGCCCCGGGGCCAGGTGAGCAGAGCTGCCTCATAAATATTAAAAATCTCGTCGTGTCGAGCTGGTGAGGTGCTGGCTGCTGCTGGCTTCATCACCCCCGGCCTTCCCCGTCTTGCCCACAGCTGCTCACAGGTGGGCCTTCCCAATAGCAGCCCAAGCCCCGCGTCCCCACAGCAAGACAGCCTAGGGGTGCTGCCTCCCTCCTCCTCTAAGTGGGAAGGCCCGGCCCTTCTCCTCCCGCCCTGCCTTCTAAGGCTGGCCGGCCTCCGCTGACCCCCATTTCTTAGAGCCTCAGCGGACCCACCCACCAATCATTCAGCAGCATAAATTGCAGAGGGCTTGGTGCCTGCCCAGCACAGGGGACGCCATGCGGGGACAGTCTCTCTCCTCTGGGGCTCACCGTCCCGTGAGGGAGGCAGATGGAAAACTTAGGAAAAGTAATCACACACCGTGAGGAAGGCAGCGGAGAATGCAACCACGGGTTCAAAAGTGAGATGGGCCGAAATGCCACTCCTTCACTGGCGGTGTGGTCTGGGTTACCCCCAGAGGACACTTCTCTGGAGGGGCCCGGGGTCCTGACTGCAAATGAAGCCGTGAGAAGCTTCCAGATTGCCGTGGCTCTCGAACTTCAGCGTGCGCACTGCCCCTCGGGGAACGTGCTTTGCCAGGGTCTGGGTGAAGAGCGCTCCCGCCATCCGAGGCTGGCCTGCAGGATGCCGTGGGCAGTTTGCCCTCAGGGGTGGAAGCACTGTGAGCGTGTGGCAAGGCAGGTGGCCCCGGGAAGGGCCTGTGGAAAAGCTCTCCGCACCTCGCTGTCTGTAGCCTCCCGTGTTTCGAGCGCGCTGCTGGGGACGTGTGCTGGGGCCGCGTGTGGGACCTGCCCGCCCCGTCTCCGCGCTGGTGCTATGTACGTGCTTCTGCACCTGACCTTCATTGGCCGGGGTCCCGTGGCGCTGGGAAGATGTCTGGTTTGAGTGATGTAGGGCCGCCACAGATACCAGGACAGGATTCGGTTTTCTCTCCATCCACTCATTCACTCATTCGTTCATTTTCAACAGACTATTCAATGCTTACCATGTGCCAGGCACCCCCCCTCCCCGATGGTGTGACCTGCATCCGGGAGGAAACTGTCCAAACTTCTTACCTGTAGGCAGAACCAGCCCTCACTTGGTGCTTATTATCAGTTACTCAAGGACAACCCCAACACAGAAACTTAGCTGAGACATCCAAGAAGCAAATATTAGGACCAAACGTGTTACTCGTAACAACTGTATTTGGAGGAACTGTAGTTTGCGCCTATTAGAACATTTTTATATAAAGTACTGTAATTCTTGCGTGGAGGGGCTATGGATGGAGACAGACTAACTTGTTTTGTTACTTGCATTAAAATTACTTTGGGTCTCTGTTCAGATGAGTTTGGAGGATTGATTTGTTGCTCTGAGCGAATGTGTATATTCAGACCTAAATACGGGAGAATCGGGGACGTTCCCTGCGGCGCCCCCCGACATTCTCTCTGCTGTAGGTTATGTGTCTGTGCCCGTCGGAGTCCTTGGACGCTCTGTATTTACCGATGATGAAGAAACCCCGACCTTGAGCCCGTAGGTACACACACTAAACACAGCAGCTAGAAGATCCCCAGAAGCTGTGGCTTCGTTGAAAATCTGCCTGGGCGGGGAAATAAGTCGCTAATGGTGGAAAAGTTACTTAACAATATAGCAGGTGAGACAGTTTTGTGTACTGGGGGGCAGTGGCTTTGGGGAAATGCGAGGCAAAGGTCTAGAGGCTAAATTTGAATCTTGGTTTGGGGACAAAATGTGATTTTTAGGGTGGTTAGATACATTTTATTTCATGTGCCTTTAAAGTAGTCTATTTGCTATATTTTATATAATGTGAAACTGTACGTGACAAATAAAAGTTTGGAACCAAATCGGCCAGAGCGACAGACTCTAGTGTTCCAACCGTGCCAACAGCCAGAGGAGAAACCACCGTTTCGAGTGACAGGGCGCCATGTGATTTCTCATCAAGATAATCGTGTGCGGTCTTTACAGCGAGCAGCTGATGTCTGACAATTCATCACAGGACAGCCTCCAACCCCCTCTGCCTCTCATGGAACCAGCTTCCTGGAAGAATGACCTGCAGGGGCTCAGGACCCCATGCTTGGTTAGTGATCTGCTAGCGCCATCTTAAAATTCTTAGTGGGAGCCAACAGCCTCACATTTTCTATTTGCAGTGGTTCCTGAAGACTCTAAGAGCCAGCCCTGTTCTCCAGTTTGATTAATAAAGACTTCTGCTTTACAGGGTTGGGTGATGATGAAAATCGGACTATCCTGATGGCACACTCTGCTGAAAAAATGAAAAATTCAGCCAGAAAGAAAGAGATGATAGATACATAGGTAGGTAGGTCAGTAGGTAGGTACATAGATGGATGGATGAAGAGAGAGAGATTGAATTTTTACCTAAGGAATGCCAAAAGTAGTAAAAGCAATCTGTTGGAGAACCTGCATTCCCTTGCATCTAGATAGGATTTGCAAACTAAAATCTCCAGGGGTTACTGTCTGTATTCTTTGTGTTTCTAGGGTTTTTTGTTGGTTGGTTTGGCTTGGTTTTTGGTCCACATCGCAGGTAGATGGTGGTCACCCCAGAGAATTCAATTTTATAGATTTCTTCCATTTGGAAGAAAGCCAGTCATTCATTCATTCACCAAATCTTGGTGGCCTAGCCTGATTCATCCCAGAGAACGCTCCATGCGTGCTTGAGAAGAATGTGCATTCTGCTGCTCTTGGAGGGAATGGTCTGTAGATGTCTGTCTGGTCCACTTGGTCTAAAGTCTAGTTCCAATCCATTGTGTCCTTATGGATTTTCTGCCTGGATGATCTATCCATTGCTGACGGTGGGGTACTGAAGTCTGATTCTATTACTGTATCCCTCCTTTTGGAACTGTTAATATGCTTTATGTCTAGCTACTCTGATGTTGCATTAATGATGATGCATTAATATTTATGGTAAAGGGGTCACTTCATCATGAGGATGTCATAAGTATTCAAGTATTTGTGTATGTATTATGGTATAAGCCTTGTGCTAGGTGTTAGGTACTTAGTCTCTGCCCTGGTCTAGACTTACCTTAGTCCCAATTGAAAAAAAAAAAAAAAGTGAAACGAGGAATACTTGGTGACACATGAAAATTACGTGAAATTCAAGTTTCAGTGTCCATAAATAAGATTTTATTGGAACGCGGCAATGCCCTCTTGTCTAGATATTATGCTGCCGGCCTTCATGTCTCATTGGCAGAGTCCCCATAGAACATGCATGGCCTGCAAAGCCCGTAATACTATCTGCCCCTGTTACAGAAAACGTTTGCCATCCCATGGTCTAATCAAACGAGAAGGGAACTGTCTTTTTGCGTGTCTGTTTTTAGGAACAAGGAGACTTTTCCTAGAACCCTTTGGCAAACTCTTCCCGATGTCCCTGGCCTGAGTTTTCCAGTTCTCATGCTTAACCCAAACACTGGCAGAGGTAATTAAAATTACCACGCTTAGCATTGACCTCTTAGCTGGGCATCTGATTCCTTCAGTGAGGGATATACTTAGGAAGCACACTCTTAGAAAAGAGAAGAGAAGAGGCTACCAACAGCGTCTGCCCCAGTCCATCCCTGGGCTGCCCAACATCCACATGCAACTCCATAAGAATTTTTAAGATTCTTACATATTCATGAAATGAACTAACCCCTTCCTAAGAGGTACACAGCCTGAAGCCAAAACCAGTTAGTACTTCCAGCTCGGGGGTCATTTGGTGACATTGATTATCCTCTTTATCAGGTCCAGATGTGGCTCCTCATGGCCTGGCAACCTATGACGGAAAGCTAAGTCATATACTCCCAACGTACCCAATATGTAACAGGGGAAAAGAACAGGGTATCTGTAATAAGTGATGCTCTTTGGAAAATGGATGAGCAGAAGGAGAATCAACACCCCGTGGCCGAAGTTTCTAGAAGCAGCATAGCTGGGTGGTTCTGCCTTATGGTCTTTTTGTGAGGTGAGCCTAATCTTTGAGCTTGAGAACTCCTGTCTCTTCATCTCATGGCTCTGTCTCTCGGGGCCATAGCTTTAAGCTGTCATAATCCCAGCTACGTCCCTGGGCTTGGTGGCCCTTTGGTGAAAAAGGCTAGGACCTGGCCTTTCTTTTCTAGCTATCTCATCCATTCTGCTCGGCTTTCTGCCTCCACACCCCTGACCTGTAGTTTAGAGCAGGGCTTAGCACACAACAGGCTCGCTGGCCAAAGGCCTGCTTTTTTACGGCCCAAGAGCTAAGAACGCTTTTTCGTTTTTATAGAGTTGTAAAAAATATGAAGAAGAATGCAGCAAAGACCTTAGATGGCCTGTAACACCTAAACTCTTTACTGTCTGGCCCTTTACAGGCCAAGTGGGCCAATTCCTGGCTTAGAATTTGAGTCGTCCATCCCTGCAAATCTCTGAAACACTAGACTCACCATCAGTTTCGATTATGGGCTTCAGGCAGAAAGAATCTCAGTAAAGCTGTATTTTTTTCCACTTTTGCCATTAGGTGAGCCACCTTTGGCTCAAGATTGACTTTTTCTTGAAGGAGCTTCGTGAAAACTCTAGGAAACTGACCGTGGCACCAGCCCAGTGTGTTTCTACAACTTTTCCTGATACGACAGCATCCATAGGTACATGGTTGGTGTGACGCAGATAACAGTTTAAACCAGGGGTAAACATTTGGTCCATGGGCCTGATCCAGTCCACCACCTGATTTTGTAGACAAAATGATAAGTGGCACCCAGCCGCACACGCTAAATGACTCATTGTTCATGGCTGCTTTTAAAGGCAGAGATGAGAGGCGCCTGGGTGGCTCAGTCGGTTAAGCATCTGCCTTCGGCTCAGGTCATGATCCCAGGGTCCTGGGATCGAGCCCAGCTTCAGGCTCCCTGCTCAGCAAGGAGTCTGCTTCTCCTCTCCCTCTGCCCCTTCCCCAGCTCGTGCTGGCTCTCTCTCAAATAAATAAGAGAAATCTTAAAAACAAAAAAACAAAGGCAGAGATGAGTTGGTTGCTAGAGAGACCATACTAGCCACTAAGCCCGATACATTTGCTACCTGACCCTTTACAGAGGAGCTTGCCAAACCTTGGCGTAAAACCGATGTCTTGCAATAATAATGCAAGGGCCACCACTTCTCGGCCTGGAATAGAGTCCTCACTGCCCTCGGCTCTGCACAGTAGAGAGTCTGTTGCTTCTAGTGCCCACATGTAGTATCATCAAGCTTCTTAGTTGCACGCCACAGTGACTCTGGCTGATTTACACAGAACAGGAATTCCGTAAAAAGGAAATCAGGTAGAGCACAGGCTTTGGAAGTATGCAGCCAAGCCCCTGTGGATTGCCTCAGATTCTTCCAGAGAACGGTTTTCCAAGGAGACCACTGTGGGCACCGCAAGATGGTGCTTTGCGCTGTGAACTTGATCTCACACAGCCCATTGCTCAGCCGGAAGGTAGCTCTCTCTGCTGTCCCACTCCTTCGGATGCAGAGCCTGGCATGGCGCATCTCTGTGATGGGGGATGACTGGGGCATGTGACCACGCCCTCGCCGCAAGGGAGGCTGGAAAACAGTCAGCAGGCATTTTCAGCATCTGTAATGGGAGGTGAGGTCTGCAACCCACCAAGACTCAGAAGGAAGGGAATTCCCCAACAGAGGAAGGAAATTCAAATGCTGGGTGGTCGAACCCAATGGCAAATACCTGCTACATCCTATCAGAATCCGGTTCCCTATTTACCCACAGCTAAACCCGTGCTTCCCAAGCTTTACTGACCCATTTCTTGCCCACTGCTCTTTGCTAATAAGCATGTACGGCCTGCACTATTATTTGCTGAACATTTTTCGTCAAAGCAACTATTTTTTACATAAATACATTTATTCAAAAGGAAAGTATCAGGTAAGTTGAAAATCAGCATCGGTTGTCCCAAGTGACCTAGGTATGATTTAAAACAAGAATGCTATTAAGTATATAGTACAAACTGTTGTCTGGTGGAGGTTTTGAGCTTGAGGACTGCTCTTTCCCAAGGAAGAAAGGAGGCTCGGAACAGATGGATAGGTGTTAAAATAGGATCGGGACCATAGCTGCTTGATCAGAAGACAGTGACCTCCCCCTATGTGGTGTGACTGTAGGTACTACCTAAATTAGCTGGGGACCACTGCGGGTATTTGCCTCATAATGACAATATAAAAAAACCCCTAAACCAGTGTCCTTGCTGGTGTAAGGGAACTCACACACGCACTTGGTTCCTCCCTATCGGGATTTCCTGAGTCTGCTCTTTTAAGCTGGCCTCGTGATACATCCCAATCCAACAGGAGATCAGAACCCTGTATGTTGGTGTAGCCACACCTGGTATGATCAGAGGCTT